CCTACCCTCGTCCGCCTCTTGCCCACCTGCAGAACTCCACAGCCGCCTGCTCCAGGCCTGGAATCCAGGTCCTGCCGGGCGGGGTCCTGGCAGACAGAGGGGCCCCAGTGGAGCACCCTGGCCAGCCTCATAGGCACTCCCCAGAGTGGCTCCTCTGCCCCCTGGAGCACTGTCCCTTCTGGAATTCACACGTCCACCAAGGGCTTGCACAAGTCTCCTTCCTGCTGACCGCAGCCCTGCATGGGTCTGCCCTCCCACATGGGACAGAACTGAGGCAGGAAGGAGTGGGTGCCCAGCCTACCCGGTCCAGGAAGCAAGCTGCAGCTGGGCCCCAGGGTCCCCACGCTGAGGTCCTGCAGCACAGCCTGGCTGTGAATGTCCAGCTGTCCCCAGCCCAGACTCCCTCCCCCTTCCTCGGGGCGGGGGCTCCTGGCCTCTTCTCAGGCAGGTGGGCCGGGTGGCTGCTCCTCAGCATCCTGTGTCTCCCCATTCCCAGAGGACTTCCTGCCATCACCTGCCAGCTCTGGGGGCTTCCCCCTTGGGCCCAGGGCACGGGGCTGCCCACGGTGCTCGCGGGGTCAGAACAGAAGGAAAGGGTGAGCAGCGGCAGACCTGGCCTGGCCTGCAGATGTCTCCATACCAGCGATGGTGTTGAATGTCACATGGCGGAAGGCCCCAGTGTCCTGCAGGAGCACCCTGCCGCTGGACCAGGTGCAGGCGCTCTCCTCGGTGCTCAGAGAGGAACAGCACCCACCAGCAGGCTGCTCACCCCAACACCCACTCATGCACACCTGGGCGTGCCACCCGATCCTCGTGTGACAGCTCCTGCTGGCCCACATGTCTGAGGCCCCTGGCCTGGGACTTGAGCTCCCGAGAGCCCTGACCATCTGTCTCCACCTGACCCAAGACATGGCCTCTCGGTGTCCCTGCTGAGCCACCTGGAGACCTTCCAAATGTGCACACGAGGCCCCATCCCGACCCCATCCCAGCCCCTCCTTGGCCCCCAGGGTTGTGAAGATCAAGCCCTCGTGGCCATCACCCTTTGCTGCCCGGGCAGTGGCCGCCCTCCCCGCTCTGGTCCTGTGACTGCTGCGCTTGGGCAGGTCCTGAGGTCTTCCCCCCGGGCAGGGCCAGCCTTGCTCCCCAGGAGCCCAGGACCGTCCTGCGTTGGTGTGACTCTGTGCTGAGTGTCTGCTCCCACGTGGACCCTGGTCCCCTCCAGGGCAGCGTGTCCAGTGTGTTCCTGTAGCACTGCCTGGGGCCTCCAGCTGGCATCCTTTCTTTCTCCACCTGCTTGGTAGGAGAGTGACCCACAACCTGGCCCCTGCAGGGAGGAGGCTGAAATCCGACTCACAGTCCTCCAGAGCAGAGAGGCCTATCACCCACCCTGAGCTGCAGTTTGGGACCCGTCCTAAAATGCCGTAGAAATACACGGCTTCCCTGCCAATCAGGTCTCTAGCAGCTCCTCCGCAGTTCTCCCTCTGCACGCCTAATGTAGTATGTCCTTTAAAAGTCATCTGTGAAATCCCGAGGCGCAGTGGTGCATGCTTGTGATTCCCACAGCTCAGGAGGCTGAGGCAGGAGGATCACGAGTTCAGAACCAGCCTCAGCAACTTAGCGAGGCCCTGTCTCTGAATTTAAATTTTTTTTAAAGGGCTGGGGATGTGGCCCAGTGGTGAAGTGCCCCTGGGCCAATCCCTGGTACCCAAAAGAAGAAACAGTCATCTGTTAAGCCCTTGAAAACCTTGGGCAAAAATCTGCGTGAACTAGAGTAACCTTCACTGAAATTCTGAATGGCTTGGTTGCCTTTTCAAAGTTGGTGACATTTTTGCTGTGGAGAGGAGTCGGACAGCACAGCAGCGTTGGCAGGTGAGCTGGTGACTCTGGGGAGGGGCCCTCGTTGGTGCGGAGCTGAGCTCAGACCTGCTTCCTGGACACGGACGCCAGGGGGAGCTTTGCCCAGCTGGACAGAGGGACTGTCCCCCTCCTTCCTCCACTCATCTTTGGAACTGGAGTCACGCAGTCCAGGTCAGGAAAGGGGCACCTGGCAGTGCTCATGCCCTGAAGGTCCACGCTCCAGGAGGGGCTTTTCCGTGTTAGGGGACAGCTGTTAAAAGCAACGTGTGGACTTAGACAAGGGACCTGGCTCACGGTAGCAAGAAGCACGACGTCACCTGACTTCAGGTCTTGGTGACCTGGGCTCTCGAGACAGCTCTCGCTGTGGCCCCCAGCACGCTCATGGCACATCTGCCCTCCCCAACCCCGCGATGCCGGGGCAGACACACCTCCCGCAGCCGCAAGCTGCCGCCATACATGCTGTTGGTGGGGATTCGCGGCTCCTGGCCCAGCCGCTGGGGAGTGGCTGGCTGGGGCCTGTGACCTGCAGCCACCACTGTCCCTCTACCCTACAGGGAGCTCTGTGAGCAGGTGGTGGCCTGTTCCTAGCAGGGCTCCGACGGGCTCCTCGGTGTCCTCGGATCCAGGGACATGTGCCCGCCAGCAGCTGGCTCTTTGCTGTGGCCTTGTCCTGCTGTGGGCTCTGCAGTAAGACAGGCAGGCAGGGGGCAGGACTGGTCTCTGAGCCACATCCTGTACAGCAGTGTCTCTGGTCAGCAGCCATTTGTCCCCCGCCCCCTGTGATGCCCACATGTGCCCCTATCTGGAGATGGGCATCTCACGGGGAGGCCACTGCCCACTCCTGCAGTGACCGTTCTGAGCTTGAGGGACTGTGACTCAGGCACAGGGCTGGCACCAGGGTGAGTTAGGAGATGCCTGTGGGTTGGAAGACGTCCCTAACACGCCCACTCCCCTGTCCCCCCAGAGGCTGCTGCAGCAGAGGTCTCCGTTGCCAGCGGGGCCCCGCTCCCCGGCCAGGCGGCTCCTGTCCCCCGTGAAGAAACAGCAGCCGGCGGCAGGGCCCTGGGTGAGGACATGACCTGCGAGATCATCCTCAACATGATGGTCGAGTGACGAGAGTCCCCTCGCCCACCTTCCGTTCTCACAGCCCCCTGGCCCCTCTAGCTCTTCTTTGAGACAAGTTCATGACAATGATGTCCCGTTTCCCCAAAGTTTGAGTGGCTCTAGGAGTGTTGACGGTGAGTGCGGGCAGTTCACAAAACTCACGGTAGTTCATAAAAGATGAAAGTCCCAGCCGGAGGGCAGCAGCTCAGACCTAGGAATTCACTCCTCCTCGAGCTTGGCAGGGTGCCCGTGAATGCATAATGAGTTCTTGATAGCGGTCCTTTCCGCGGTTTGGACCAGCTAGTGCTTCCACCGTCTGAGCTGGAAGACTTCACGTTGAACTGCCCACACCCACCCTTGGTGGCTCTGATAGTATGATTTTAAACAGGAAAGACTTAACTTTATGTCCTTTTTATGCATATGAGTTTTCCATGAAATTTAAAGCTACCCGAATACTTATAATCAATTCTAAGTTCAACAAAAAGATCCTATTATAGAGGAGAAAACGGAGTAGACGATGAAAGACGAGGTTAGAGTAGACGATGAGGAGTGCCCTGTCCCACTGGCTCAGGAGCAGAGCGTGCCCCGAGGTTTGTCTTCTCTTTTAATGATGGAGCCAGGCAGGTCGGAAATTGCTCGTTAGTGCTGTTGCTTGTTGGGATTTCAGACCCGTATGGTTTGCTAAAACAGCCTTGTTTATATGTTTCAAATAATTGGCGGAGTTGAGAAGAAACCCAAAATCCCCAGGATGAAGATGTGCACGTGTGAAGGAACCTGTACTTTCCTGACGCACAGTGGTGGGTGAGCCTGTCTCTTGCCCCATGGGGTCCCCACCCCGGCAGTATGGCAGGGGCCTCCTGAGCACCCCAGCAACCAGGGCTGCTCTGCAGGAGACCGTTTGCGTCTTGGCGTAGCTCGCAGCTGCTCGGCTGTGGACCTTTCCTTACCCCCATATTTCAAAATCATTGATAGTTCCCAAGTTCAGATTCTTAAAATGTTGATCTGTAGTTCGGATTATCCCAGGTTCAGAAGCCCCGCACAGTGGGAACATGTGGAAATAATTTCCTAGCAAGAAAGGCCTGGTATCCCCTCTGTGCCGGCAAATTGATTCAGTTCATACAGTGAATTTAAATTCTGGGTCTGTTGTACTCTGTCATGGTGACTGTATTTCTCTCATGGTTTACTTTGGATTGTTGTTTACAGATGTTTTGCATCTCAATAAAATGAAATGACTTAAACTTGCACTCTCTGTCATGTTTAAATGATGTCCTTTAAAAATATGTTCTTGGGCTGGGGATGTGGCTCCGTGGTCGAGCGCTTGCCTACCGTGTGCCAGACCCTGGGTTCCATCCCCAGCACCTCCTCTCTGTAGGGAGGAGGTGGGAACTGCTGCCCTGGCGCCTGCTGGTGGGAATGTGAAATGGTGCCATAGCTGTGGACACCCCCGTGCAGATCTTTAGGAGTTAGAATTCCCACCTGAGCCAGTAATTCCACTTCCGGGCCCATGCCCCAGAGATCTGAAGTGGGTTTCAAAGAGCCACATCCATCTCAGCCTTAGCCACAGTAGCCAAAGATGGAAGCTCTTCAAATTCCATCGATGGGTGAATAGACCAGCAAAATGTGGTATATTCATACAGTGGAATATTATGAAGCCTTAAAAAAGATGGGAATCCTGCTTCAAAATGAACCTTGAGGGCATTTTGCTGAGTGAAATCAGCCACACACAGGAAAAGCACTACATGATCCCACTTGCATGGAGACCCTGGAGTGGTCAGATTGGTAGAGATGGACAGTAAAATGGTGGTCTCCAGAGGCTGCAGGGAACAGGCAATGGGGACTCACTCAGTGTTTAATGAGGACAGCATTTCAGCTTTACAGGGGGAGAGGAGTTCTGGAGTGGATGGAGGGGGATGTCACCTGACGGCATGAATGGACCCAGCTCCACTGTGCTGTGTGCTTAGGAATGGCCAGGATGGTGCACTTCCTGTGTTATTTTACAGCAGTTGATTTTTTTAAACTTCAGAAAAGATAATACAAGAAACATTTTAAAAACACAAGTCTTGTTGGTATCTAAAGACACCAGTAAAAACACATGATGGCTTTGTAAGAAATTACACATTGTGTGTGTGGAACACCGGGGAGGAAAATTCACCTGGGAATGTTGCCGTAGGTTCCCTCCTCCACCCAGAATTCCACCCAAAGCCTGGATTAGAGGTCGCCCCTGGTCCTGTGGTGCCCCCACTGAGCTGCGGTGCTGGACGGTCATGGAAGCAGTGCCCGTGGTCCCCACAAGGGGGCAGGCGATTCTTTCTTTTGCGATATTGAGACCAGTGAAGACTGGAATAAGGGCGCAGTTATTGCTAAGTCTTGGCCAGTTTATTAATTCAACACCGTACTGGAATAAATAAAAAGTGGTTTGCACTAGTAACAGGACATCTTGCTCTTGAGGTTGCTAAGGAAGAGAGGAGTGTTTGTGAAACCCAGCAGTGTGGACGCTACTGGCTCCGGGTCTCAGGAAGCCTGGTGAGGGACGTGACTTTAGGACGTCCTGAAATGGTTTGGAGATCCGGCAGAAGGTAATTCCAGAATGCACATCTCTTGCCCGATTTAACATCTCTGATTGGTGGGGAGTGGGGAGAGGGTTTTAAGTTGCAATACTGTTGACAAGGGATGTTTTAAACCAACCGGAGACCTGCGTGATGTCGCCATCAGACGGTTCCTGGACAGGCAGGGGCGGTGGGAATCCATCCTCAGGAGCCCACCATGACCACCCAGCTTGGCAGCCCCCCTGTTTTTGTTAATGACATCTAAAATTTTACATAGTTTGGGTTCATCCTGGGGAGCCCGCCTCTTGATGTGACAAGACTCTCTTCCTTCCAGATACTAATGCTCTGTCACTGTTTAATTTTTCCTGATAACTCTCTTTCTGATACCCCCGCGGGGCACTCTTTCCTGACGATTAGTCGGGATGGTCTGAATGCTTACTGAATGGTCTCAAAAGGGACCCGAGGACATTTCTACTGGATAAAAACAAACATTTTGTCAATTAAATAACTCGTCTTCCGCAGGCCTGCTTGGGCGGGTCTAGGTCTGCTGCAGTACAGGAGCTAAACAGGCTGCCCTGGAGGTCACAAGTCACTTGAAAGTGCAACAAGGGACAGGCCTGCTTGTCTCTCTGCTCCGGGCCCTACCAGGCAGCCCTGCCAGGCCCGCTCTACAACAAAGCTCATGCTTGAGGGAAGCGGCCTTCATTCCTGGCTGGATCCAGCTGCGGGGTTTGAGCCACGATCCTGAAAGACAAACCCAAGTTCGGCCTTTTGTTCCATGGGAATCGCAACTTGGGGATTTGGGCTTTCAGGATCTCAACCCTCGGGATTATGACCTTGGAGACTGTGTCTTTTGAGATCATGATGGACGCGGCCAGTATGTGGCCGGCAGAGCCCTGGCACCTTTACTCCCAGGACCAACTGGAGGCCACAGGGTCAGCACCCCTGACTTCAAGGCCAGCAGTCTCCCCCAAATTGGCCATGACTCCTGACCCCACTTTTTTTTCCACCTTGTGTCCCTGCAGTCTGGGAACGCGATCCGGAGGACGCTGCTCCACGAGGCTCGCGAGGCTCAGTGGCCATTAGCTGAGGGAGGGGGAGCTGCCACCCCCCGCCCAGTCCTGGGGCCGTTTCCAGGGGAGGGTGGGAGTCAGGGGAAATAGCTTTGGAACAGAGGGGCGGGGTCAGAGGGGCCCAGCTGTGCCAGGGCTGGTGGGCAGCATTCCTCAGGCCCCGGGGGCTTCCCGCTCTGGCAGCACACAGGACCCTGGATCCTGCCCCCTGGGTGTGCACTTCACACACATTGAGGGACCAGTGTGGTCCCTCCTCCTGATTCATAGCTGTGCTTAGCTCCGGCCAAGACACGCCCCGGCCTGCGTCTGACCCCGCCGTCCCCGGTGCAGGCCCAGTGACTCACCTGCCTGTGAAGCCCTGGGCACCACTGCTTCCTAAACCTCTTGGCACGTCCCACCCCAGGACGTGTGAGGACCGGCTGTGCCATACGTGACTGCACCTGGGGCCACCTGCCCCCAGCTGGGATTGTCCTCTGTCCACAGACAGCGGGGAGAGCAAAGCTCCCTTCCCTGGCCAGGCCCCGGGCACTTTGTTCTGGATGGTTCTGCCCAAAGAGCAACTCAGCCTCCCTAGTGGCCTGTCAGCTGACTGCCCCCGAGGCCAGGGGTGAGGCAGAGCCCCTGCCTCCAACATGTGACCTGGGGGTGGAATTGGCCAGCCTCCTCCATGCAGGGGACAGGCCAGTGAGCCAGCTGCCCACGGTGACAAACAGGAGTCTCTCCACAGGATTCACTGCGTGCCAGCCAAACACCGGGGCCCGCGAGGCCCAGCAGGACTCGCTGACCATGGAAAGTCCTCTGTCCGAATCTGCCAGCCCCTTCTGTGCTACCAGGACAGTGCTCCACCTGGGGGAGACCCGCTGTCAGGCGGGGCAGCCACGATTTCCACAGGCGATTCCTGCCATTGCTTGTGGCAGGTAGCAGGACGTCAAGCGTTTGGATGAGTGGATTTGCACACAGGGATTTTTGACATTGAATGAATTATTTTTAAGCTGGGCTTTGGTGGTGCATTCCTGTAATCCCAGGGGCTCGGAGGCTGAGGCAGGAGGATCGCGAGTTCAAAGCCAGCCTCAGCAAAAGTGAGGCACCAAGCAACTCAGTGAGACCCTGTCTCTAAATAAAACACAAAACAGGGCTAGGAATGTGGCTCAGGGGTCAAGTGCTCCTGAGTTCAATCCCTGGCAACTCCCCCCCACCAAATTTTTTTTTTAATTCCAAAAAAAAAAATCAGAAATTAGAGATGAAATGTTAAGGCCTTCAAACGTTGGCCAAATGGAAAGTAGTTTGTGATTACCTGGGAATGGATGACAGAGTTATTAGTGTTATTTTCCAACAATGCATTATTTATAGATTTTTTAAAAAATTTTTTAAACATTTTAAAATATTTTGAGGCCTAACCCCAAACTGTAGTAAAATCCCCCTTTCAAGTGTCCATGAGTTCTGACAAATGAGCCTCCGTGTCACCAGCACTGAAGTCCAGAGGTGGTTGGCATCGTCACCCCCATGTCCCCCATGCTGCTTTGTAGCCAGCACCAAACCTGCTCCAACCCCTGGCAGCCACTGACTCAGTCCTGTCCCTAAGGTTTGGCCTTTTCTGGAACATCACATAGATAGGCTCATCCACTGCATTCCACAGAAGCACCTGGAGATCCAGCCCTGCTCTCTGCAGGCCCCTGCTCCTTCCTGTGTGCTGCTGAGTATTTCCCCTCATCTCTCTGGATATCCCACGATTCACTCATCCGCTCACCAGTTGCCTCAGTCAGCTCTCTGTCCCTGTGACAAAATACCAGAGGCAATCAACTTAAAAGGAGGAAAGGTTTATGTTAGCTCCCAATTCCAGGGGTCTGAGTCCATGATAATTGGCCTTGTTGCTTTGAGCCTGTGGAAGCACAGTCCATCACGGCCGGAGCATGTGACAGAAGATGGCTGTTCCCCTCATGAGACCGGGAAGGAGACACAAAGAGGCTGGGGTCCCAATATCTCCTTCAAGGCACATCTCAGTGACCTCTGATCCTTCCACAAGGCCCCACCCACTGAGGGTTCCACTGCCTCCCAGTGGCGCCGCAGGCTGGGGACCACACATGGGCCCCACTTCAGATCCACACTTGTGACACCAACTCCGGGACCTTCACCTCCTTCCATTTGGGAGGTCAGGAATCGGCCATCACACGTCTCCACGCAGTCCTTGTGGGAACACGTATTTCCATTTCTCATAGGGAGACACCAGGTCACAAGGGAGCCGTGCTACAAGGACGTCAAACACCTCCCGAGTTCCCCGGCCGCCCTGCGTTTCCCCACCAGGTACAGGCGTCCCGTGGCCCCAGAAACACCCCCTCCCTGCCATTGCTGGGCTTCAGCTGGGTGTCCCACCCAGCAGGCGGGCGAGGCCTCAGCACGGTTTCACTAAAAGCCAAGATTTTGCAAATCTCTCCCTGGGCTGATCGTCCATCTGCATCTTTTGGGGGTGACATTTCCGTTCACCTCTTTTGACCATTTTTTACCCTGGGTTGTTTGGGAGAGATGTTGTAGTCAGCTCTTTCACGGCTGTGACTAAAAGGACCCGACAGACAACTGTGGAGGGGGAAAGCCTTATTTGAGGGCTCACGGTTTCAGAAGCCTTCGTCCATAGAAGGCCGGCTCCATTCCTTGGGGCTCGAGAGGAGGCAGAACATCATGGCAGAAGAGTGTGGCAGAGGGAAGCAGCTCACGTGGTGATCAGAAAGCAGAGTGAGACTCCACTCGCCAGATTAAAAATATAGACCCCCAAAGCCACGCCCCCAGTGAACCACTTCCTCCAGCCATACCCCACCTGCCTCCAGTCACCACTCAGTTAATCCCATCAGGGATCAGTTCCCTGATAATTCGCTGGTCAGGTTAAGGCTATAACCTAATCATTTCTCCTCCAAACCTTCTTTTTTTTTTGAAGGGGTGGCAGGTAACCAGGGATTGAACTCAGGGGCACTTGACCACTGAGCCACATCCTCAGCCTTATTTTGCATTTTACTTAGAGACAGGGTCTCACTGAGTTGCTTAGCTCCTTGCTTTTGCTGAGGCTGGCTTTGAACTGGCAATCCTCCTGCCTCAGCCTCCCGAGCTTCTGGGATTACAGGTGTTCGCCACTGCCCCCAGGGCTCCCCCAAACCTTGCATTGTCTCACATGCTAGCTTTTGGGGGACACCTTACATCCAAACCATTATTATTTACATATTCTGGACACAGGTTCTTCCTCAGCCATGTGTTTTATAAATACTTTCTCCCCATCTGTCTTTTCATTCTCTTAAGTGTCTTTCAAAGAACAGATTTAAAAAAAAAGAAAAGAAATTGATGAAGTTTAAGTTATCAATTTTTTCTATGATGAATCATCCTTTTGATATCCTATCTAAGAAATCTTTGCATAACCCGAGGTTGCAAAGATCTTTTCCGAGGTATCCTGCTGCAAGTTTTATGATGTGTGCTTCACACTTGGGTCTGGGATCCATTTGGGGCCACACCTTGTTTCTGGTGCAAGATGTGAATGGAAGCTTGGTTTTTGCATTTGGATGAACTCGCTGAGCCCTCCCCTATTACCCCACACCCATCCTTCCTCCTCTGACTCTTCCCTACAGGTGCGGGACCTGGCCACCTGTGTGCAGGTCTGTTTCTAGACTGTTCTGTTCCCTGGAGCCCGTCCCTCAGTACCAGCGTGGTTCCTCTCCAAGACAGCTCTGGTTGTTCTAGACCCTTCGCCTTTCCATTAAAAAAAAAAAAAAAAAAAATCCAAGCAACATTTTTGTTTTCTTTTCAGATCTGCTTGTTGTTTTATGCGAAACAACAACAACAAAAAAATGTTTCTTGGATTGTTGGAGAGATGATTTAGATCAGTTTGAGAAAAATTTCCCTCCTTAACAATAGTGAACCTTGCAGTCCACGGGCGCAGGAATGGATCCCGGAGTGTAGTTAGGTCTCCTTTGGTATTTTTCGTCCTCATTTTGTAGTTTTCAGCACACAGATCTTCTACAAATGGTGAATTTATACCAACATTTTTCATAATTTTGGGGGTGCGATTATAATATTAAAACTTTCTTCCCAATCGTTCTGTGCTAGTGCGGAGAAGTACACTGGAGTTTTGCGGGTGGCCCTGTGCCCTGCAGCTTTGCAGAACCCACTGGATCTCGGGACCTGCAGGCTCCTCAGCGGGCGGCGTGGACAGCCATGCCCTTTGCCAACAGAAGCGAGTTGGTTTCCCCTTCTGGTTTGTATGTCTCTCTTGTTCCTTCCTCACCATATGGCACCAGCGAGAATCTCCGCTGGGATGTTGAACAGGAACTGAGAGTGGGATCTCTGGTCCAGCCCAATTTCCCGGGGCCCCTTGAGGGTGGGCGGTGGGAGGGAGCCCAGGCCCACCTGCTCTGTCGTCCTCAGCTCCTGGGTTCTCAAGGTCGGAGGCCACCCACCTCCCAACATGCTGGCATTAGAGCAGGGGAGAGGGGTCCACTGTTGTCTTTTTGAGTTAGAAGAAAAGCTCGGAGCCATTGACAAGGAAGGGCTGGGTGGCTCCCGGGAAGGGGTTCCTCTGCAGCCACTCACCACCATGGGATTGCGATGCGTTTGGACGTGTGCCCTCCCCGCAGGTGGGTGGGGCGTGGTTCTGCTGAGCCCCATTTCAGCTGAGCAAGCCTTGGCATTGGGTCAACCTCTATAATAGGAACCAACCAGCCCTCAACCTTTAAAAGACGGCCAGGGCTGGCAGCCTTTGCCAGAGCTTTCCCTGGGCTCCCCCCGAGTCTGGGCCAGCTGGGGGGCTTGATGGACAGCTCGGGGAAGTTCTCCCACGGGGTCCCCTGGACAGCTACACAGGCCACTGCTGTGGCCTTCCCCTCATCCTGACCATCCCAAAAGTACCATGAGACTCCGGCCACGTTCATGGCATTGCACGGCGCGTGACGGTTTCTTTCCCGTGGCTACAGTGGAGGCAGCAACTGAAGAGCCCGGGGGACAGAGCGTGGAACACGTGTCCTACCTGCACTTCTCATTTGGCTCATTGAGTGCAGGTGTATACAGTCAGCTCCACTAGAGGCTGGGTTGAACCGCCCGCACACACACCCCTGATGCACTACTGTCCAGCCTTCGTGGTGGGGGCAGCTGCCGCACCCCCCTGCCTCCTGGGCTTGCAGCAACAGCCCTGTCTGGGGTCAGCTCAGGTCAGCAGGGAATGAGGGCCTTGTGGCAGGAGGCTCCGCAATGGATCTCAGGCAGCCCCTCGTGGCTGAGCTTTCCTGCATCACTCGGCCCTGATGGACTCTCACCTCCTGGGTTCCCAGCAGCTCCAGGCACACACCGTGTCCAGGGGCCCAACAGGCTGCAGGCCCGGGGCACCTACCAATGTGCAGAGCCAGGGCATGCTGCCCTCTGACTGGCCTGCCTGGCCACACCCTCCCTGGAGCTGGAGGTGGCTCAGCATCCCGGGGACCAGGGCAGGAGCAAGGGCCCACCGCCCAGCCTCAGCCTTGGTTCACTATGAAAACCCATAGAAGCATTCCCTTGAAGCTTTTCAATCTTAGGGTATTTTTAAACTTTGTGATGCTTAAGGCTTTCCAATTGCAGAAGAAATGCAGAGCTATTTGAATAAGGAAACAGTAAATGTAAGCTTTG